TGAAGCAAGTCTACATCCCCACCTAGTGAGTGGGGGGCTTTGGGGACCCCTGCCAGGCCTGGGGGGGCACAGGAGACCCCCCTGGGACCCCCCCAAAATCCTCTGACCCCCTCCCCCCCTTTTCCCACAGCACTAAACCCAACCCCAACCAGATCATCTCGGTGGGCTCCAAACCTGGCGTCAACGGGGCCGGCTTCCAGAAAGGGCTGAGCTGCGAGAGCTGCCACAGTCAGTGCAGGCTGGGGGCATTTGGGGGGGTCCCAAAGGGTTTGGGGGTTCCCAGGGGTTTGGGGGGGTCCTGAGGCTGTGAGGGGTTTCTGGGGTTTGGGGGTTCCAGAAAGGGCTGAGCTGTGAGAGCTGCCACAGTCAGTACAGGCTGGGGGGATTTGGGGGGGGTCCCAAAGGGTTTGGGAGGGAGGTCCCAAAGGGTTTGGGGGGTCCTGAGGTCGTACGGGGGGGTCTCTGGGGTTTGTGGAACAGGAATTTGGGGATTCCAGAAGGGGCTCTCTGGCATTTGAGGAAATCCTGGGGTGGGGTTTGGGGGCTTTTGCAGAGATTCTGAGTTTGGGTGGGATCTCTGGGTCCCCCCTCAGCATCCCAGTAACCCCCAGTTGCCCCCGCAGCATCCCAGTCCCCCCAGTGGTACGCCTGGGGGCCCCCCAACATGCAGTGCCGCCTCTGTGCCTCCTGTTGGATCTACTGGAAGAAATACGGGGGGCTCAAGACCCCCACCCAGCTGGAGGGGGTGACCCGCAGCGCCTCGGTGAGCCCCCAGACCCCAAACCCCACTGAGGGACCCCCAAAACCTCTTGGGACCCTCAAAACCTCCTGGGAGCCCCAGATTGCCCTCAGGAACACCCGATTTCTCTCAGAACACCCCAAACTCCCTTTTGAGCCCCCAAACCCCTCTCAGAGTCCCTAAATCCCCTTTAGAGCTCCTTAAATCCCATTTTTAGACCCCAAACCCCCCTCAGAGTCCCTAAATCCTCTTTAGAACTTTCTAAATCGCCTTTGGAGCCCCCCAAACTCCCTTCATCCTCTTTCCAAGCTCCTTTAGAGTCCCCAAACCCCACTAAGAGCCCCTGAATTTCTTCTGGGACCTCCTTAAGCCCCCCAAATTCCACAGTAACCCCATTCCTGGGGTCATCTTTCCCCATACGCCACCATGGTTGGATTTAGGGTGGATTTTGGGGTCACCCAACCCTTTCTCCCCCCACAGGAGCCCCACTCATGGGGTCACCTGTCCCCATACCCCACCATGGGTGGTTTTGGGGTGGATTTTGGGGTCACCCAACCCTGTCTCCCCCCACAGGAGCCCCACTCATGGGGTCACCTGTCCCCATACACCACTGTGGGTGGATTTGGGGTGGATTTTGGGGTCACCCAACCCTTTCTCACCCCACAGGAGCCCCACTTCTGGGGTTACCTGTCCTTGTACATCACCATGGGTTGATTTAGGGGGGATTTTGGGGTTGTCCAACTCTCCTGACCCCATCTAAATCCCTATAAACCCCACAGGAGCCCAACTCATGGGATCACCTGTCCCCATACACCACTGTGGGTGGAT